ATCGTGAGTCAGAGCATAGAGAGAGGAGGCCACATGTACTGAAAGACACGGCCACGAAAGAGATACAGCCACTTGCCTTAGTCTTCACAGCAAAGTCAGAATTTCTAGTACCGAGCCAGCAAGCAACCAGTGATTGTCGACGCACTTATCGGATTATATCAGTATCCTGTCAGTGACGCACTTTGAGTACCCTAGGTCACGCCCAACTCGCAGCATTGACGTCAAGCGCCTCAGGCCCGACACCAACGACCAGCCACGGAGCCCCCGCGACGTCCTCACACAAGCTGAACCTCCCTGGTTTGCATCGTGAGGCCCAACCAACGGATCCCGCTGTTGTTGCACTTACATCACCGAGAAATCATAGGGCGTTGTCCTCGGCCTCGCTAGGAGTCCCTTGCCGCCATCATAGCTATCACATCTCACTATCGTCGTCTTAAGTGTTCCTGCTTTGCAGATTGATCCGTGACGGTCCATACGAGCCCAATGTTCACCACGAGATCTCATACTAGCGAGCCACCTTCAGCAGATTCCAATCGCTGCTCAGCCAGATAGAGATTTCCGCGTGATTTTAATCGGAATCCAGCAACACTTGACAAATCCCGTGCATATTCAGTACAATATGGGTCAAAGCTTCATCACTTGATTCTTTGACTATAATTTTAGTCCAGGAACATCAAAGTCCATCCTGCTGCGCCAACCTTTTCCGACAATGGTTTGCTAAGCCTCATCGTGGGAGCTCCTCAACAAGCCATCTTGTCGTCACCCACCGCCGTCCGCCAGTCCAAACTTGGAAAGTAAATATTCGAATTAGGTAAAAATCTCATCTAATTTGCTTTTCGAGTATATTGTTTCTTTATTTGAAATATTACAATCTTGTGTGAATCTTTGAATGATATTATCATATCCAATAAATTCCCGAATAGCCTTTAAATTAAGAATTATTTTCTAATTTCACAACATGCATATGATCGACAATCTGATTTCATACTCGAAATATGACTTGCGATTGCACAGAAAATCGTCAATCCGATCTCCCGTCCGAGATATGATTTGCGATTGTGCGGAAGATTGGCCAATCCGATCCTCATGCCCGAGATATGATTCGTCAATCTATTGTTTCTAAATTTAAATGGATATGGATAATATTTCTTGTGATTGGGTATCGTGTTCATTGCTATGTTTTTTCGTCTTTTGTTTGAATTGAATTGATTGTCTTTCCATAAAAAAAAATACAAAAAGATTAGGTAAAATTTGAGTAGATAATATATTGCATGTTTAGGATAAATTTTGATTATTTTCTTAGAATAGAATAGATTCTTTTCTTAGATATTAGAGTAGTTGCATATAAATTAATTCCCGTCATTAGAAATCTCACATCTAGGTTCATTTGCGTGCCACATTAGAGATAGTGCATTTAATTGTTGTTAGAATTAGGACATTTAAATAAATCATATGTTGCATGTCATACTAGACGTAGAATGCATTGCATAAAGTTTAGTTTTCGTTAAATCAGAGAAAACCTTAAAAAAGATTTGAGTGAAATTGTATGTTAATTAGAAATCATATTAGGATTGTCAATGTGATTTTCTAATTAATATTGCAGATGTTTTCGCTGCTTTGAGGTAAGTCCCTATCATGCAATTTATTTATTGCTTTGCATTATTGAGTGTTATATTATTGATTGCACATCCGCATGATCACTTTGCATGTTAGTGGATAGGTTTAAAATCAATCCAAGTTGCTTGCAAATATTTTTTTGAAATAAAAGAGAAAAGGTACCGAAAGGGCATTAGAGTAATCTAGTGTAACCAAGTCCCCGAATCCATAATCTCTGGTTCGTAGGAGTAAAGTAATTCTCCCGATACTTTACTTGGGTTTCTAATCGACCCACCAAAAAGTAAATTAGTGGCGACTCCTGATTAAAATGATTTGCATGTTAAGAACTTAAACCTTAAGTCGCAAATTGGTAAGGGTTTGGGAGAGCCCGAGTTAGGCCTAGACTTAATAATCCATTAGCCGAATCCGTAGGTGGTGCACCACCCACAGGAGGTGGGGTCGCGACAACAGGTGGCAATAAAGATTGATCTCATGAAAGCCTATGACATGGTAAAATGTGATGCAGTCATCGGGGTTCTCAAAGCTATAAATACTCCCCATGACTTGGTTGCTTTGATAGCTGAGTGCATTACTACTCCAACATTTTCAGTGAACTTCAATGATGAATGGGCTGCGACAAGGTGATTCTCTTTCTCCATACCTTTTTGTAATGGTTATGGAAATTCTTAACAAAATTGTTAGTGCGAAAGTTGCTGCTTCTTCTTTCAAGTATCACTAGCGCTGCAAAACACAACGAATCACACACTTATGCTTCACATACGACTTGTTATTATTTTCTCATGGAGATGTAGATTCCGTCCTTTGCCATGTAGATGCCCTAGACGAATTTGCAACTCTCACAAGACTACGGTTCAACCCAAACAAGTGTCAAATCTTTTTTTCTAGGTTGAATGAGGAAGAGAAGCATCTTATGCCAGACCACGTGCCCTTTTCTCTAGGTACCCTCCCTATCAGATACCTGGGTATCCCCTTTGTTACCAGAAGACTTACCGACACAGACTGTAAGAGTCTTATTGATAAGGTCTTCAAGAAAATTGAAAGTTTGGACATGAAGCATATCAGTTATGCAGGGCGTCTACAGTTAGCCAAATCAGTCCTCATCTCCATCTGCACCTACTAAATGCAAATGTTCCTACTTCCAAAGCACACTATATAAGGTGGAGAAGAGGATTAGACAATTTTTATGGGCTGGTAATACAACAAATCATGACTCGCACAAGGTTGCATGACAAGTAGTTTGCTCACCTAAAAGGGACGGAGGAGTAGGGCTGCCTAATCTAAACATATGGAACAAAGTATTGCTAGGCCGCATGCTATGGAACCTCATCAATCGTCCTTCCTCTTCCCTTTGGAGTGTTTGGGTTCACAACACCAAATGCAGAGGCACCCCAATTATGCAGCTTGATATTAAGGGTAGTATGGCTTGGAGCTGGAGATGTCTCCTTAAACTGCGACCCGTTCTAACGTCGATTATCCCGAGTTCAAGGTACTGTTGCCAAGATATATATGATGAACTCAGACATGTAGGACCAGCTGTGGAGTGGTATAACCTAATTTTGACCAGCGGCATTAGCAAACACAATTTTATTGGTTGGCTAGTTTACAGAGATAGACTATTTACAGCAAGGATCGTTGCACAATGGATGTCTTCAGTTGATATCCAGTGTAATTTATGTAGGGCTGGTATTGAAGACAAAACACATTTGTTCTTCCAGTGTGAGTGGACAAGCAGCATATGGCATTGTAACCTAGCACAACATGGGATTAGGCACCCTTTAGGAGGATGGAATGAAGAACTTCAATGGATGATTAGGGCAACAAAGGGCAAAGACTTGGCGATAAGACTCCTCAAGTTGTCCTTCCTAGCAACCAAAAATTGCATTTGGATGGAGCGTAACAGTAGATGGTTTCAAAACAAGTCAACTGACTTCCATATTCTTTTGGCGAAGGTGCGTAAAAATGTAAGAGGTAGAGCGAAAAATTAGACCTTCCCAGATAAATGTTGTATTGACTACTATATGGAGACTTACTACCTCCATCTTTTTGAATTATTAGCACTATTTGTGATGCTGGGGGATGTCCCTAAACTGTTGTACTTTATCTGATTTATACAACTTACATTCACACCAAAAAATATATAAATATATATCGGATATAATATTTATTCTATCATACTATTATTAAAGTGTGCTCAAGGTCAAAGTCAAAATTCTGACCAAGAAAACAAAAAGGTTAGAGTCAAAAGAATACACTAAATACATTAGAATTATGTACTCATAAATTCCACGATTGATTCATTACCATGAAAGTATTAGCGCAAGAGCATATGCATATGCGTGTAAAAGGGGCAATGGCACAATAAGTCATAAAACCGATTGCAAGGAAATAATTGAATTATAAGCATTTTAATTGAGCAAATTTAGTCTTCAACCTTTGAGTGTAAATGAAATCAAGTCCTTTCGATCAAGTCTCACCGGACTTATCTGACGTGATAGTCAAGTTTTAGTTGGCCATCCTATGTATAAAGGCAACGGCGTGAGGTAGACAAAACAACGCCATTCTTCTTCTAGCTTTTATGTGTTATTCTTCTTTTTTATTGCTTATGTTCTTTCCTTCTTTCCATTGTTGGAGCTCCTCTTGCTGTTCATCATCTTCAACCTCTCGATCGCTTTGCGAAGCCCAGCAAGTCAATAGATTGCCAAAAAGTTGGGTCTCAAACCTAACCTCAAGCCTTTGGGCTCTTCAATTTCTCATGCTCCTACTATGTAACTTGCTCATACTACTTGAATGAAATGAAATCAATCTTTTGCATGGATATGCATATTTTATGGCAAAATGTTGGAGGATGTTTTTCAGTTTACTTCTTATGGAGAACCTTTGTACTTGTAATGTTTGGAATTGAATAATTTTAGTGCTTCTTTACAAAACTAGGTAAATATCTCCTAGCTACTAGAAAATGGCTGAGCGTTTTCTTGAGGGCTAGTGAAAATAAAGCCTAAAAATCTCCTAGCTAGTATTGATATGACTATTTCAACGCACTTATGTATGACCACTTCTAGCAGGCCCCACTTGCAAGCAGCTATTTTAATTCAAAATGGTTAAACTCCATGAAGCCAATCGATATTTGGAGATACATGGGCTAACAATGAGCTGATTTACCTTTGCATTTATGGCCTAATGAATTGAACGATGCCTAAAATGATTGAAGCGACCTACCGATAGCTACCATCGTTCACCACCACTGGAAATAAATTAGACATAATCTTGTTCATAGATCGAAACGAAATTGAGTCCTCTGATTTTGATACTTAAGGATCGTACCAAAATTGTCGAGAAGGAAAATTCTTTCACAAACAATCCTGAAATGAATACACGCTTCACTATATTTTATTCATATTACCATATCAAAACATAACGATTCTTAGCACAACACATTAGTCTTAAAATAAAAGCTGCACGTAAAACTATCTCAACGCTATGTTCGGGGATTCCTTGTACACAGTCGGTCCACGAAATGGGAAAGATCTTTATAGTACCGAGAAGCAGCTTTGTCGCTTGAAACCAAGACCTTAAGTCACATCAAAAGCCTGGAAGCCAGGGTCCACTTAGCCAAGACCGCCCTGCATTACACGTCTGTCGTCTCTTCCATTCATCATCATCTCATTCCAGAATCCTGCAAAGAATTTGACCTATAGCGTCAGGATCCGTCAGACATCCAAGTCGTTACATGTGAATAGAGAATACGAAAATCTTGGATCGTTATATTTTTTAGGAGAAAATGCGAATTTCTTCTATGTACAGATAATTATATCGTGGTCGATGGACCTTATATAATTTATTAAAATCAATATATATCTTGGATCATGAATTTCTTTGCACTTGGAATATGGAAATCGACATCACCGGAGCTTCGATTTAAGTGAATCGTGGGATTTTGTTTTAGAAAATGACATTAGCACAAAGTTCCATCCAATAATGTAGCCGACAATATTGTACACGACATGACCGCACGTACCGTCCAACTTTACAGGAATATGACCTGAAAGATAAGAATTGGAACTTGGAAGTAGGGCAAAGCATCTTGTCCAGTTCTGCATCATCCATACGAAACATCAAATCAATCACAGGGCTCCATTATGCGGGAGCAATCTGTCAATAAAGAGTTTCCAGAGTGATGAAGAAAGATCACGTGGGAAAAATAATTTTGTAATTACTGTGTATTTCATAATTAAAAAAAATTAATATTATGAAAAATTTCAAATTGATATATTTATAATAAATCTATTTCAAACTAATTTTTTGATCACTAAAAACTTCAAATTAGTATACTTATGACAAATTTACCATCCGTTAAATTAGATTAATACTACAAAATACCACAAATTGGTAAATCTGTGACAAACCGAGGGGTAAACCCCTAAACTGATACACTTATTAACTGTCATCCAACTAAGTAATTTGATAGTAAAATTTAATAGAAACTAATAGATGATAAACTTATTACAAGTGAATCAGTTTGAGGTTTTTTGTGGTATTAACTCTAATAAAAATTACACGAGATATTTATGAACTTTTTAAAATGACTATTTATACAAAATATCAATTATAATCAGTTAAAAATATGCACAATCAACAAAGAATCTTCGAATTAACCCGTGGTGACGTAGATAAAGCCAATTGAAATTTAGAGAAAAGATTTAAAAATTGCCTTGCGAATGTACTTTAGTGAAAACATTAAAAGTTTGATCAATCGGTAAAATGGAGACAAAATGAACAGTGCCATGAAACATGTCATATAATGTGAAATGACAATCTCATAAGTAGGGTTGCAATGAGACTTCGAGCGACATTATCTTGCAGGCATAATTACCTCTTATCAATTCAAGTGGAAATACATGGTCCCACTGGTTTCTTTATCATTTAAAGCTAGATTACATTATCTTACATGGTCCCATTAGTTCAACATGCATGCATGATCTTTTTACTTCTGATTCCAATTTCTCTGGAATTGACCCCTTTAGGGTCCACTCAGAAATTTTACCCGTATATTTTTATTACCGGCCTATGTTATCCCATAAGTGGGAAGAAGCAAAAGAGTATAGGATATACAAAAATAGAGAGAGAGAGAGAGAGAGAGAGAGAGAGAGAGAGAGAGAGAGAGAGAGAGAGAGAGAGAGAGAGAGAGAGAGAGAGAGGGAGGGAGGACCAATTTGAGGGTCAAAACCGCAATGAGGTGGGGCTTTTAAGCCCCACCTCGCTTCTCTAAGGTTTATGTGGACCGTCTCACGAGGATCTTCAATCCGAACCTTCACATCTGCTGGAAGTATCCATATGACACTGCATCGGCTCGGGAAAGAATATATGTATGTCGCTGAGAAAAGCTTAGCTCATCCAAAGGGAGACCTACATGTCAAAGGAGGCAAGTTAGGATAAGTCGTATTGGCTAATGAGAAGTGAACGAGAAATTAAGTTGGTGAAATTAATGACTTATCTTAGGTTGTTGATGACCTGAGTTTGCCTGCTTGTAATGTGTGATGTCCTGTATTAGGGCCTGCATGGCTCCCCTCATGCCAACTAAGGAAGTACCCAACTCTGTCTTTGGCAAAGGCTGCTTCTTAGATGGCATTCAGGGAGCCAGGCAGGTCCATTTTCAGAAACTCAACCAAACAAGACATTTCATTTGAGCTTCATCGTCAAAACCTGCAAAGCAATGTGTCATCTTGTCACGTTCTTTCTTTCTTCTTTTGATCCTATTCTTATTTCTGAAATGACCATAGCATCACATCACACATGACTCGATTTCTTGGGTATTGGAAACTCGGGATGATACTATCGAAGCACTTACCTTTGCTCTTGGAGATTACTAGCTTCCACGGTTGGGAGCTTGACCCATCATCGAAGAGTCTCTGTAACCTTTTCACTGCGCTCTCTCTCTCTCTCTCTCTCTCTCTCTCTCTCTCTCTCTCTCTCTCTCTCTCTCTCTCTCTCTCTCTCTCTCTGCCTTGGGGACAAAGAGGAGGAGAAATTTGATTTAAAGGGAATGGAAGAAGGCAAAGACAAGAGAAAATCCATGGAGGAGAGGGGATACAGGTCATATACAAGGCGGCAATCAAGGCCTTTTCCTTTTTTTGTTTCTTTTTATTTTTTGGGTCAAATAATAATTCCATAGAATAGAGTCAAAAGTTGCTGGGGTTTTGCAGGTACCTATTTTGTATCATCTTTACTTGCTACAAGTGATTATTGATTCATACTCTTATTTCATTGCTAATTAAATTACATGAGAGAGCGGATTAATGATACGTTGTACATGACGAAACATTTGAATTTTTTTTGGGTATAAATATGTGAATATCATTAATCAGATGAAGTACAAAAGCTTAGGAGAAACCCCTAGCATTTCAAAAAGACTAATTATGCGAAAAGATGGAGGAAGTAAGCCTCCATACAGTAGCCAATAAAATATTTGCTTGGGAAGGTCTACACTGTTGGTAGAGTGACGCCCTACCTCTCACAAAAACTTATATGAATGTGCATAATGTCATGTTTTAATCATGTAAACTGAACCCACTATTCGTAAGAATTTGCAATCACATAAAAAAATTTTATCATCTTTTTTGTTGTGGTCGAGGATAGCTTTTCTTAGTGTTTGAGGTGTACTTATCGTTTTCTTTTCAGCTTTTCTAAGTTTTGTGGTTGTGTATTCTCCATTGGTCCCATCAATCATACTTAATAAGAAATTTGATTTTCAAAGCACTGTCCATATTTTATATGGCCGTAATGCATTGAAAATTGTAATTTTTCCTTATTTAGTTAATTAACAAGCACTCCTACAACACTTATTACAATATTTTTTATTATCAGGATGCCAATTAAGAGAAGAATATTGGTTAAATTAACGGCATTTGATTATTTCAAGATGGAACCAAAGACCAGTTAATAGGACAACGCCAGCTCTATAAAGAGAGGCATGGATTCTCATTTGTCAAATAGCTTTCATGTTGACCACTCAACAGTGTCTTATCTCTTGCTTTATTTCCTTCATGACAGTCCATGCATGTTTTATGTGATTTCTTTTCTGAAGCACATCAAACCCTAACTGATACAAAAACAAAAAACTGGGACTGTCTTCATCTGTTGAAGTAATTTGAGAAAGTAATCTCCTGATTAATTCCTTCATCTGCATGTTACAAAGCAAATGGTGCGAAATGGTAAAACATTTGGAACCTCACTTTTTAATATATCTTTTGTGTTAGGGAAGTTTTGCTTCTAAGATTAAGCTTTTGCTTTGTGCTTCTAGGGTTTCAGATTTTAATTTATAGTGGACACCTCAAATTTCACAACCATAATATTGACAAGAAGAGTAACTTGAATCATGTAGAACTCCATTATAATTTTTGTAAAATTTTTTTTATTTCTATAGAAAAGCCAATAAGTTCTTATCTTTTATTAAAAATTTTGGGCTATACATATCATTTTGTAGGTAGGTAGTGTGAGACTTTGTGGGACCACTGCCAACTGTTCTAAAAATTTAAGCTATTAGATGAAGGCGTTGTTTAATATTTAATTATTCTAACAAGTAGGCGTCCACATGGGCACAAATTTTTGACCAACTAGGAAAATTCCAAATAAATCATGGGATAATAACACCACAAAACCCAAGTTGATACACCAATGATACATTAACGATAAACTAATTTTCATGTCACAAAAAATTATAAATTGGTCAATTAAGTGACACATCTACTCCAAATGGCTCTTTAAACAACATCGTTGTGGGCAAGCCAGATCCGAAGAAAATGAATTGAGATTGGGAATTAGGGCGAAATTGTATCATACTTCTTCTATCTCTTCCAAATGACCCAATTCATAAGAGTGTGCAATATAAACTGGGCTTAAGTTTTCCTAGCTCAAAACTTACTTTTTTGACAAAGATGTCCTTGAGCCCAGTTACAGAATTGGGGGGCAGCATAATACATACCAGTCCCAGTTTTTTGCTTCTTTCAACTTTCTTGTTTATTTTCTTTTCATGTTTGTTTATCCTTGGCAATAAATTGTATTGATTTTTGTTGCTATGTCTTTTTGCTGTTGTATGCTGAATTATCCCATCAATAGTTGCTAGGAGTCAGTGACATGTATGGTTTGCGGAGAAAAGTGTCAAAAAAGTCATAAACCTTTTGCATTGGTACCAATTTAGTCCTAAACCTTTTTTTGGTGCCAATTCAGTTATAAACCTTGTGCAAATTTAGTCCTAAACCTTTTTTTGGTGCTAATTCAATTCTAAACCTTTTGCATTGGTGCCAATTCAGTCCTAAACCTTTTGTATTGGTGCCAATTCAATCCTAAACCTTTTTTTAGTGCCAATTCAGTCCTTAACCTTTTTTTAATGCCAATTCAGTCCTAAACCTTTTTTTAGTGCCAATTCAGTCCTTAACCTTTTTTTAATGCCAATTCAGTCCTAAACCTTTTGCATTGGTGCCAATTCAGTCCTTCGACACGTGAATAGCTATTAGCCGAAAGGACTGAATTGGCACAAATAAAAAAGGTTTAGGACTGAATTGGCACCAATGCAAAAGGTTTAGGATTGAATTGGCACAAAAAAAAGTTTGAGGACTATATTGACACCAATGGAAAAGGTTGAGGACTGAATTGACACAAATGCAAAAGGTTTAGGACTAAATTGGCACCAAAAAAAGGTTTAGGACTGAATTGGTACTAGTGCAAAAGGTTTAGGACTGAATTGGCACCAAAAAAAGGTTTCGGACTAAATTGGAACAAATGCAAAAGGTTTATGATTTTTTTGACACTTTTCCCATGGTTTGGGCAAATGATCCAGATATTTGAGATGCGAGGCTAATATTGATGAGCCCGTAAACTAGGAAACTGTTTTAGATGAGCCGATCGTTCATGTCCTTGTGAAGGATCTCTCTATTGATGAGTGAATCTTAGAATGAAATTGTTATGTTCTTTGTAGGTTGTTTTCTAAGTGACATGCTTTCTTTGAAGTATATGCTAAGATATTGTTTTCTGCTTAAGTTGGATATTAAGAATGTGAAAATTCGAACATTGATCTCTACTTCCACCGGTTTAATTGCATTACTCTTTCATAATTTTTTCTTAGGGTCTTATTAACAAATGACGAGAATAAAGTTAGATTATTAGAAAACTGATTGCAAATAACACGAGTAACGCACCCAATTGAAAAATTGCAAACTTTCTTCGGTGATAACCTTTTTGGGCGATCTTTGATAATGAGTTTGTGCTAGGGATTGACACTGCATAACATTGGTGATGGGAAAGTTGAAAGTGCTATTTCATACTTGATCTGAAGCCCCATGTCCAAGTGAGATTGACAACACCGCGGCACCTGCACAGTGACAACAGACATTGACAGAGGGGGTGTTTGTGCCGTAAGAATTCGAGTATTCTTGTGTTTGGGTATGCAACAATAGAATGAGTACTAAATGACTTTCTCTCTCTCTCTCTCTCTCTCTCTCTCTCTCTCTCTCATTGTCAATCTCAGCAACAAAAAGATCTGACTTGTCACCGCCTAGATCGAGGAGACGCTGGATCTAACTTCGGTACCGATGTATCTACATGTCGCTGGGACTAGACATCATATTACAAATCACGTTAGCAAAATGTACGATACCCCTAACCCCAAATCCCAACATTTGAGGACCCAAAGAAAGGTGGGTTTTACAAAGGGGGGAAAAGTGTGCAATGTCCTTCGAACTCTTTCAATCTGTTTCCACGAAGAAGATCAGCTGTTGCAAGACGAAGGCCCCCCATGTTCCTAAAACATGAATTTGTACATGTGAACTAATGATGGAATTGAGTGTTCTTTTTCGGTATCTCCTCAACCACTCCACTTTGCGTTATTCTTTTGCCACCCTCGTACAAAACAAGAGTATTGCAATCTGTTCACACCTTGGTCAAACTAATATCGAAACCCTAGAACCACATGTTTATCTTTTGACAATGTCATTATCTATGGACCGCATCTTTTGGCTACACAAGTGGAAGTGTCGTTATTAAAAATTTAGCAAGTGGTTCTGATTAAATGACGTGGGTGTTTTGGAGTTATATAATTAAAGTCCCAACTGTAAATACTCTATCATCTTTTTGGCCAAGTAGGCATAAAGCACTTTTTATGAAAGCTTCAAATAAATTCCAAGAAACACATTCGCGCAATTTCTATTATTCTGTGATGGTCGATATCATCTTAAAGTTAAGTGAAGTAAGTTATTAAATAGTGCTAAATAATTTACAAAGTTCACCGCTTGCAACTCACCACGTTACTTAATATACTAATTTTATGGACCGCATGAACTATACCAAACTCTACTCTTGTTTTTAATAGCTTAAAATTATTAGAGAACAATGCATCGATTTATCTTTTTTATCGCAATAAGGACATAACAATGCTGACAATCTCGTTCGAGAGTAGATTAATCGCAACAAATTCGCATTGACAAGGTCAATCTAAAGTTCGAGATATGATGAGACCTTCTTTAATCGGTTCTAAATTCTAGTCCACTTGTATTGACTCATTACATGTCAAAACCGCAAGTTGGCATGCATTTTTGGCTATGACATTCGTGTTTTACATATTAGATTGTTTAAATTGTGCCGGTTATTTTTTTGACAATCTTATTAAGAACGCATTGTAAACACCCTTTTGGTCAACATCGTTGAAATTTTTATCTCTATCGATTAATTTTCTGGAATTACCATTGGCAACGGACAAGTACATTTCGAATCACTAGGAAAATAACACAATTATTTGGAATCGAACAAAACCTTCTTGCTTGCGAAAACATGTGTGGCAAATTGAAACTTACTAGAATGATGCAAAATTGCAAACTCCGATACAAAACAACAGATGATTCATTCCCACTGGGATTTCAAGAGCCTCTGCCCTGGCAACGAACTTGAAGAAAACAACATCCTAGTCAAGACACGGAACA